TAATTCTATCCTGAATAATTGCTCCTAGAAGCTTCCCCCACCATTGCAGTTAAGCTGACTGGCCTGTGATGCCGGGCTTATCCTTACAACCTTCCTTGAACAAAGATGTAATGTTTGCAACTTTCCAGTCTTCTGCATCTCAGGAAGACTCTAGTAACGCGCATGAGAGAGAACCATTTCCAAGGTTAGGGGAATCAGTTTAAAGCCCATATCTACAATAAGTGCCAAAAAAAAGTCAGGAGAGAAGATCGTGTCAATTTTGAGCGATAGGTTTTATAAGTTTTTATCTCTCACTAGTGTCTGCACGGCACCTGTAAAGATTCAGCAGACAAGCTGACCATATGCATGCACTGAACCTGTTTTCACCTAAATACATTGGCAAGTGTGCACAAGCAACTTATAAGAATAGTTATAGAGTCATAGAGTCATACAACATAGAAACAGACCATTTGGTCCAACTAGCCCATGACGACTATATTGCCAAAATAAACTAGTCCCACCTGCCTTTGTTTGGCCCAAATCTCTCCAAGCCTTTCCTATTCATGTACTTATCCAAATTTTTTTTAGCATTGTAACTGTACCTGCATCCACCACTTCCTCATACAGTCATAGATATACACAGCACAGAACCAGTTCTTTCAGTCCAACTCGTCCATGCTAACCAGATATCCTAAATAAATCTAGTCCCATTCGCTAGCATTTGGTCCAAATCCCTCTAAACCCTTCTGATTCATGTACCCATTCAGATGCCTTTTAAATGTTGTAATTATATCAGCCTCCACCACTTCTTCTGGCAGGTCATTCCATACACATACCACCCTCTGCATGAAAATGTTGCTTCTTAGGTCCCTTTTAAATCTTTCCCCTCTCACCTTAAACCTATGCCCTCTAGTTTTGGACTCACTCCCCCACTCTGGGGGAAAAGACCTTACCTATTTACCCTATCAGAGGCCCAATGATTATATAAACCTCTATAACGTCACCCCTCAGCCTCTGATGCTCCAGGAAAAATAGCCCCAGTCTATTCAATTTCTCCCTATGGCTTAAACCCTCCAACCCTGCCAACATCCTTGTAAATTTTTCTGAACCTTTTCTAGTTTCACAACATCCATCCTATAGCGGGGAGACCAGAATTGCATGCAGTATTCCAGTAGTGGCCTAACTACTGTCCTGTACAGCCACAACATGACCTCCCAATTCCTATACTCAATGCCCTGACCAATAAAGGCAAGCATACCAAATGCTGCCTTCACTATTCTGTCCTTCAGGAACCATGAACTTGCACCCCAAGGTCTCTTTGTTCAGCAACACTCCCCAGGGCCATACCATTAAGTGTATAAGACCTGTCCTGGTTTGCCTTTCCAACATGCAGCACCTCACATTTACCCAAGTTAAACTCCATCTGCCACCCCTCAGCCCATTGGCCCATCTGATCAAGATCCTGTTGTATTCTGAGGTAACCTTCTTTGCCGTTCACTACACCTCCTATTTTGGTGTCATCTACAAACTTACTAACAATACCTCCTATGTTCACATCCAAATCATTTATATAAATGATGAAAAGCAGTGGACCCATCACCGATCCTTGTGGTATACCACTGATCATAAGCCTCCAGTCTGAAAAGCAACCCTTTACAACTACCCTCTGTCTTCTACCTTCGAGCCAGTTCTACATCCAAATGGTTAGTTCTCCCTGTAGTCCATGTGATCTAAACTTGCTAACAAGTCTACCATGAGGAACATTGTCGAAATGCCTTAATGAAGTCCATATAGATCACATCCACCATTCTGCCCTAATCAATCCTCTTTGTTACTTCATCAAATAACTCAATCAAGTAAGTGAGACACGATTTCCTATGCACAAAGCCATGTTGACTGTCTCTAATCAGTCCTCGCCCTTCCAAATACATGCAAATCCTGTCTCTCAGGATTTCCTTCAACAACTTGCTGGTCACCAATTTCAAGCTCACTGGTCTATAGTTTCCTGGTTTTTCCTTACCACTGTTCTTAGACAGTGACAGTTGGCTAACGTGGTGCCACTATTTAAGAAGAATGAAGCCATTGAGCACCAACACTATACACCGTGGGGGATGAAGGAATCATCTCCAACAACTTATCCACCAGTGATGAAGATTGAAATCACACGACCACTTTTTTTTTCAGGATGGCACCAGCATGCAGTGACAAATCCTCACCCGCACTATCTGTGGAGCAGAATGAAGATGATAAGGATCAGGCCCCAATTACTATGAATGCTTGGCATATGTTGAAAGCCTTCAAATGAATGAATGAGCTATGAAGCTGGAAAGGGGTAGGTGAAGGAGGAGGCTTCCGGCAGCAACAGCAATGAGCTGGAAACAGCTCCACCATAGCCTGGGGTCTCCCAGTGAACAAGGAACAATTCCCAGGCTGACTCCACCAGCCCAGACCCACAGTCTAGGCTGAGGCTGCAGGCCTGCCTGAAGGATGTGAAAGGCGATCTCAGCCCAGTGTGATGGCCTCCCACTGTAGCAGTCTTGTCTCCACATGAAGGTCTCGTCCCCATGTGGAGGTTGTCTTCATTTTCCATTTATTCCATCACATCAGCCCAGCGGGTGGCCTCTTCCAGGCGTGGCGGTCTTGGCCTGGCACAGCGGTCTTCTTCAGTGGAGGCTTCTGGCCTAGTATTCACCAGCCCAACATACTGGTCTCGTCCCGACTGTGTCTTCAGGGTATTCTATCGCTTCTAAATTGGATTTCCCTGAGCCCAGAAACTATTAACTGAACTGTGTCTTTGTCTTAATGGGTACATGAATCAGAAGGGTTTAGAGGGATTTGGGCCAAATTTTGTCTTAATTTACTCTTTTTTAGTTAACATGTATGACTTCTGTCGTTGATAGAGGCATCTTGGTGGGGCGGCTTATTAAACCTTTCACTGTATTTTTCATGTAAAAGCCTGATCCTTATCATCTTTGTTCTGCTCCACAGATAGTGCGGGTGAGGATTTGTCACTGCATGCTGGTGCCATCCTGAAAAAAAAAGTGGTCGTGTGATTTCAATCTTCATCACTGGTGGATAAGTTGTTGGAGATGATTCCTTCATCCCCCACGGTGTATAGTGTTGGTGCTCAATGGCTTCATTCTTCTTAAATAGTGGCACCACATTAGCCAACCTCCAGTATTCCAGCACCTCACCTGTGGCTATCGGTGATACAAATATCTCAGCAAGGGGCCCAGCAATCATTTCACTAGCTTCCCACAGAGTTCCACAGTACACCTGATAAGGTTCCAGGGATTTATCCACCATTATGTGTTTTAAGACGTCCAGCACTTCCTCTTCTGTAATATGAACATTTTTCAAGATGTCGTTATTTATTTCCCCATGTTCTCTATCTTCCATATCCTTCTCCACAAATGCAAAATACTCGTTTAGTATCTCCCCCACCTCCTGTGGTTCCACACGTAGATGGCCTTGCTGATCTTTAAGGGGTCCTATTCTCTTCCCAGTTACCCTTTTGTCCTTAATGTATTTGTAGAATCCCTTTGGATTCTCCTTAACCCTATTTGCCAAAGCTATTTCATGTCCCCTTTTTGTCCTCCTGATTACCCTCTTAAGTATAGTCCTACTGCTTTTATACTCTTCTAGGGAATCACTTGATTTCTGCTGTCTATAAACGTTTCCTTATTATTCTTGACCAAAACCTCAATTCAGCATTCCCTACACTTACCGGCCTTGCCCTTCACCCAAACAGGAACATACTCTGGACTCTCTTCATTTCATTTCTGAAGGCTTCCCATTTTCGAACCATCCATTTACCTATGAACATCCCCCAAGTGCCCACATGCCCCACCCCACCAAATCAACTTTTGAAAGTTCTTGGCTGATACCGTCAAAATTGGCCTTCCTCCAATTTAGAAATTTAACTTTTGGATTTGGTCTATCCTTTTCCATCACTATTTTAAAACTAATAGAATTATGTTCACTGACCCTAAAGTGGTCCCCCACTGACAGCTCAGTCACCTGCACCGCCTTATTTCCCAAGAGTATGTCAAGTTTAGCACCTTCTCTAGTAGGTACATCCACATACTGAATCAGAAAATTTTCTTGAACACACTCTCCATCCAAGTTCTTAACACTGTAGCAATCCTAGTTTATGTTTAGAATGTTAAAATTCCCTACCATAACCACCCTATTATTCTTACAGATAATTGAGATCGCCTTACAAATTTGTTCCTCAATTTCCTGCTGACTACTGGGGGGTCTATAGTACAATCCCAATAAGGTGATCATCCCTTTCTTATTTCTCAGTGCCACTGAAATAACTTCCCTGGACATACTTCCAGAAACATCCTCCTTAAATACAGCTGTAATGTTATTCCTAATGAAAAACACTATTCTTCCTTTTCTCTTGACCCCTCTCGATCCTTCCTATCGCATCTATACCTGGAACATTAAGCTGCCAGTCCTGTCCATCCCTGAGCCACGTCTCTGTACTTGCTATGATATCACAGTCCCATGTTCCCAACCATGCCCTGAGTTCATCTGCCTTACCTGCTAGACATCTTGCATTAAAATAAATGCAGTTTAATTTATCAGTCCTACCTCATTCTCCACTTTGTTCCTGTCTGCCCGGTCTGTTTGACTTACTTTTCTTCCCAACTGTACCAGTATTGACTGATCACTCTCCTTACTATCTCCCTGGGACCCACCTTGTCACCCCCTTTCGAGTTTAAATCCTCCCGAGCAGCTCTAGCAAATCTCCCCGCCAGTATGTTTGTCCCCTTCCAATTCAGGTGCAATCCGTCCTTCTTATACAGATCATTTCAACCCCAGAAGACATTCCAATGATCCAATAATGTGAATCATTCTCCCCTGCACCAGCTCCTCAGTCATGCATTCATCTGCTCTATCCTCCTATTCCTACCCTCACCAGTTTGTGGCACTTGGAGCAATCCAGATGTTACTACCCCTGAAGACCTATGATTTAAATTCCTGCCTAACTTCCTATATTATTTCCTCAGGATCTTGTCCTTTTTATTTCCTATGTCATTAGTTCCAATGTGTGCAATGACGTCCTGCTGATCCTGCTGTCCTTTGAGAATATTCTGCACACTCTCCGAGATAGCTTTGATCCTGGCTCCGGGGAGGCAACATATCATTCTGACATCTTATTGTTGGCTGCAGAATCTTCTGTCTGTGCCTCGAGCTATCACAATTGATTGCTTGGAACCTGGCGTAACCGTCATTACATTACAGCCAGCCTCAGTCCCAGAAACCCAGCTGTCAATGCTACATTCCCCGAGAGTCCATCACTCCCTACATTTTCCAAAACAGCATACTTGTTTGAGATGGCGATAGCCATGGGAGACTCCTGCACTACCTACCTCCCTCTCCTACCTTTCCTGGAGGTCACCCATCTACCTGACTGTTTCTTCAGTTTATCTCCCTCCTTGCAACAGCCTCTAGTTGCTGCTCCAACTGATCCATGTGATCCAATAGGATTCGCAACCAAACACACTTCCTGTAGACATAATCATCAGTAACATAGAAACTGTCTCTAATCTCCCACATCCAACAGGAAGAGCACATCAGTCTACTGAAGACCATCTTTGCACCTTAACAATCTACAGACTCAAAAAATAGCACAGTCTTACTGCTCTAAAAGCACTACTCCAGACCAGCTTTATTCCTATATTTTTATATTTTTAAAAGTTAAATCAAGAGACAGAACTCAATAATAACACATAGTCAAAAAAAGCCAACTTTACTCACTATTGTAGATTTACAAAAGAAAAACAGTAAGGTTACACTTCAAAAAGTCACTTAGCTGCTTCCCTGCTATGAGCTCCCGTACACAGGTTTCTCCAAGGTCAGCTGTGAATTTCACTGTTTGTTTATTTTTCTTAGAACAAACTCCGATATTCAGAGATACTCAAAACCAGACAGCAAAGACAACAGCTGTGTAGGTTACTGCTGAGTCTAATAGCCCTGTAGGTTTCTTTCTCCATCTAAATGACTTCCCATGTAGTCACTGACTTTGTCCGTCTTCCTCCCTCTTAAAGTGCTGTCATTTTGATCTTTTCTTTCCCAAAGTTCTAAAACAATGCAACAGCTTGCAAAACAGTAATTATTGCTCCTCGAATTCAAAGAAATCAGCTCCAACACTGAAAATACCTCAAAAAAGGAACAGCTCTTAGAGCCACAACTTTTTCCCATCCTCCATCTTGGATTACCCAGAATCCTTCCACACAATAACTGCACTCGGTGTGAAAAAGTTGCTCCTCACGTCCTTTTTACACCTTTCTCCTCTCACCTTAAAAATATGTCCCACAGTTTTGAATTCCCACACCTTAGGGAAAAGACCTTTGCTTTTCACCCTAACAATGCCCCTCATGATTTTATAAACCTCTATAAAGTCATCCCTCAACCTCCTATGCTCCTACGGAAAATGTTCCAGCCTATCCAGCCTATTTTTATAATACAAGCACTCCATTCCCGGCAATATCCTGGCAAATCATTTCTGAACCCTCACCGGTTTAATGATTTCCTTCCTACAACAGGGTGACCTGAACTAGACACTGTGCTCAGGAAGAGGCCTCATCAATGTTCTGTACAACTCAACGTGACATCCCAACTGCTACACTCAAAGGCCTGAGCAATGAAGGCAAGCATGCTAGACGCCTTCTAAACCACTCTGTCTACATGTGATGCAAACTTCAAATAACGAAAACACGGGACTGTTCTTGGAGAGAAGAAGGCTAAGAGGAGACCTGATTGAAGTTTTCAAAATCATGAATGGACCAGATAGATTGATAGTGAAAAACTGTTTCCACTTGTAAAAGGAACTGGAATGAGAGGGCCTGAATTTAAAGTGATTTGTAAAAGAAGGTAATATGGAAAGAAAACCGTTACGCTCAACAGTTGGTTGGGGTATGGAATGTACTGCCTGGAAATGTGGCGGGTGTCACTTGGACATTGAGGTGAGGTAAGTATTTGGCTCAGTTGGAATGTCATTGGTTTTTCAAAAAACCTGGTCACTTGTCAGAATGTGTGTAAAGGGAGATCACTTGAACATGGTACTGGATGTTGGCTGATACTCCATGTGTCAAGCATGCCATGCCTGTTTTATTTCTTCACATACACTTTTTTTTTCTCTTTGGATATGAGTGGAAAGTGTCGAATAAATTTAGAAGCTATTTACCAATCAGTTGAACCACATCATGAATGTTCCTTCCATAATCAATTTTTCCTGGGCTTTGTGTTACCTACTAAGCCACAAGATATTGGTAAGCAATGGTGGCTAGTGTAAAATAAATGGGTTAAGGGGGGAAGTCAAACAGATTTGAAAATGTCTGGGACAAAAATAAAAGGAAATTGTTCACTTTTTCTCTTGGAAGGGAGAAATAACTTTAACTTGCCTCTCAGCCTCAGTACTGTACTGAAGTGAGTTTAGCTCAGTAAAATACAACCCTTGTATTTGAAAGCTGCATTGTGTGGAGGTCATCAGAGTCCTTCCTTATATAAGCTACCTTACATTAGCCTCTCAAAGTTATATGAACTTTAGATCAGTTGTGTCAATGAGGTTTTAAGTGGTAAAGTCAGCCACTGGTGAATGAACAATTGTGTAAATCTACTATGCAACATTACTTCCTTCATTGGTCTTCAGAAAGGCAAACTGTACATGACTGAATCGAATACTATGGGACTAAATTAACTAACTCCTAATGTCTGATGAACTACATTGCAGCAGTAAACCCACTAGAAAACCTAATTAGCTAAAGAACAAAGGACATTTGGTGTTTGGATGACAGCATGATATGCTCTTCTAAGCATAATATTTAATTGTAAATGGGCTATGAGTTTTAATCAGTTCTTATGGATGGTTAATTTATTTTCCAGTGGTACTTGACGAACAATAGTTTACTGACTAATAGCACAGGTATAGAAATTAATATACGCTGCCATATTACAATTAATATGTTTAAGAATCAGTATTAATAGTTTTTAATTCACTCTCTGTGTGTGTGTGTGTGTGTGTGTGTGTGTCTGTGTGCATGAGGCTTTTGCATGAGGCTTCCATGAGGCTTTTGCATTTTTAATGGCCGCTTTTAACTTAATTTTTGGCATGAGGAACTCTAATCATATACAAAGAATTTTGTGTAAGCAGGAAGTTACCTTCCTGACTAGAAAATCTCTTGAATAGTTCTCCACAATCCGTTGGCAAGAGACACAGAACTAATTCACTTCTCATCAGAACAGGCGTCCCTTGGTGAATATGCTGTTACACTAATCTATTTATAAATGAAAACGTTGCATCTAATGAACATTGTTAGCATCACAATATACTTTCTGTCATACTTTTACGCTTTAGTGTTTTATTCATCACTCCGTTTATGTATAAATGTCTCATAACTAATTAGCATATATTTCATATTCAATAAATATTAAGTAAGTGGAACATGTATGAGTCAAATGTAAGAAGAGCAGGTAGATAAAATTTCAGTGAGAACGTTTTGATGGAATTTGTGGATTAAAAGATGTAATTTATTTTAATATCCACCTTAATTGAAAGGGACAGCAAAAAGAGAACCAATCCTTTCAGTTGCTGAGAAAATTGAGACTGAAAGTGAGATTGGAAACCAAAACTACTGATTGAAACTACATAAAAGGAAACTGATTCATTAGACATCAGTAGATGAAGAAGATAGTGACGAGATCCAGAAGCTGACAATAAGTTGTCATGATGATAAAATATGGACTAGCAACACTCAACTTCCATCCACCTGATTCTAATACTTGAACTTTTATGCACTGAAATGGTTTTAAAAAGGAAAGACATTGAATTAAAAATGGCCACAGTGATCATTTGACTACAGGTTGCACAAAATTGCAACAAAGAAATGTGCAACAAACAATATTGTTTGAAGTGAAATTAATCCTTTTACCAAAAGGGCCTGAAACCAGTCAGGTGTGAAGCAACTTCCATCTTCTCTTGTTAACTTGTACCTCTGTGAGATGTTTCACACATTGGAGAGGGAAGATTTGCCTGCAATGATCCAACTTGGAGACAGTAAGTTCAGACATGTGAATATACGAATGAACTATATTTCAAGCAGCTGTTTTGGCAGAATGCTGCATATGGATTTGTAAAGATAGCACTGGAAGTAGTTTCTCTACATGTGTCTCTTTCCCTCTCTCTCTTGCTCTCTCACTGTCTCTCTCTCTCTGTGTTTTTGCTCAGGGAGGACAAAGCAAAACTGACAACACAGTTTGGAGCAGAATCTGAGTGTTGAAAACACAAAGATATCTGCAATATTCATGGCTGCTGCTGGCCTTGAGTAACCACTATCTAACCAGGCTCACAGATTAACACCTCACACTTTCTGGAAAACCAAAGAACTGTGAACTGTGTAATCTTTCATCTTCCCATTTTGTATATTTCACATAATCTCCTTTTTAACTTGTGTGTGTGTGTGTGTGTGTGTGTGCGCGTGCGTGTGTGTGTGTGTGTACGCATGCGCGTGCGTACGTGTCTACATGCTTACTGGTGCATCTATATTTTTCTTGGAGGAATAAGTAATAAAATTCCTCTTTCTTTCATTCAAGTAAACTTTGCAATTAGCTCATAATTTTGTTTCTAAGTTAAATATATCTTAACTGGAGCTAGAAATAACTGCATGTAAAAGAAAATTTAAGTGGTTTAAGGATACAGGATAGGCCATTTAGGACTGAGATAAGGAGAAATCTCATCACCCAGAGAGCAGTGAGCCTGTGAAGTTATTTGCCACAGGAAGTGGTTGAAGCCAAAATATCAAATGTTTTCAAGGAGTTAGATGTAGTTCTAAAGGGATCAAAGGGTATGGGGTGAAAGCAGATACAGTGTAATTTGAAATACCTTTCAGACTGTGTCTTAATTTCTTCACTAATCTAAGTAATTTACTTTGGAAATGAGGTTTTTCAACCTATATGACAAATGAAAGGGAGGCGTGCTGCCTTCTTGAACTGCTGTAGTCATTTTGAGCAGGTACACCATTATGCCTGTAGGGAGAGATTTCCAGGATTTTGACCCGGCGACAGTGATGGAATGGTGATATATTTCTAAGTCAGGATGGTGAGTGGCTTGGAGAGGAACTTGTCAAGGGTGGGGTTCTGACATATCTGCTGCCCTTATTCTTCTGGATGGTGCAGATCATCGGTTTGGAAGGTGCCGACTGAGGAA